GATCTTCCTTTTGCTGAAATAAATGGGGTTCGCAATATAACAATCTGTGCATGGTTCTATAATATAACTTTAATATACTTACACACGTCAAGTAGAAAGTTTTTTTTTGCTCTAGGTTAGAATTCTTGCCAAAAAATTTTTGAACATTATTAGAGGTAAACAAATTAGTTTATTGCACAGCATAAATTTATTATTATCTTTATAGGAAGCTACTAATACTATCAAATTATTTAGCTCGCTTTTTTCCTTTTCGTAAACGCACCCAATACTCCCAACATTCTTTTTCCGCACGTTCTTTGGCATTATCAGAGATTCCCATTACAATTATATTGCATGATAAATATTGTATTGTCTTAGATTTTTGTAATCGTATTTCCTGCTTAACTAAGTTTTTGCAGACCAAATCATTTAGAGCAATTCGTGCTATTTCTTTAGGAACTAAAATTGTTGGTGGCTCCTCTTTATATAACTTTACCTCCCTGGTATTTTTTTGTAATGTAAGCTCATTATACTTGTTCTTTCGAATTTTATCAGTGTTTGATCTGCTAAACACATCGATAACATCATCAGGTGAAACTTCTATTAGACTATTCTTTGTTAATGCCTCTACTATTTCTAACATTTCTAAAATTTCCGAAAGAGCATTAGTAAGTTGTGGATTTTCTCTACTTCTTCTCTGACAATTGTCGCAATTATTACATTCATAATAAGAAGAAGATAATTCTGGCCAAAGGTATTTGCACAAGAATTGTTGACAACAGTCATATTGTATTGCACAAAAAGCTGCTATATTAAAAAGATCTTTTTGCATAGTTTGCAAATATTCCTCATATACAGGATTCACATTTTCGCTATCACTTATATATTATATATAGTTAGTGTAATTTCGTATATTCAAATATAAATTTATAATTAATATTATTATACCTTTAATCTTCAGCAATTATAGAGTAATTGGTTCACAAATCTTTTAGCCCAAAAAAAATTACATCTTTTGCTGGCTTCCCATCACGCCCCGCACGACCAGATAACTGTATAAGTTCAACTGCAAAGCAAATATAGCATTAATACTGATAAATTAAAAACAATACATGAAATACTTTCTATTTTCTTAATAGAATGATTGGAGTCAGATATTGTACAAAGCAAAGCGATAAAAAAACAGATGATTCAGCTTATATAAATAATAACTCATGCCTGGTAATAGCAGATTTTTAATTTATTTTCTTATTATTGCAAATTAACATCTATCATATCCCTTAGGTCAGGAATATAAGGAAAATAAAGAAAATGAACAAAATAAGGGAAGTGGCGAGCCATATGGTTTACCACGTTATGGATATATCGCTGGATATACTACTAATGACACGGTTGGATGCTATCTAAATTTTAGAAATAAGATAAAAACTTACTTAGTGACATAGGAAAAGTATAATGTAATATTAAACGGACATCTAGTATATTTAATCCCATTCCGAATACAGTAGTTGCTATCATTGTGTGCATTTTATTATCCTCCCATTTTTCTAATACATGTTTCTTATCCTTACTATCTAGACCCCCATGGTATATGTCTAGTGAATAATTAGGCAATTTTGTCTGAAGAATGTCTCTTATTTCTTCACAATCTTTTTTTCGTGCACAATATATAATTGATTTACCATCTTCAATAGTACAAATCATTTCAGCCATCTCTCCGATTATTGTATCCTTTCTTTCTTTTTTTGATACAACTTCATATCGAATTTCTTGACGTAATAAATTTGTACTACGGATAATTTCAAAATTATCTTGTTCAATATTTAGGGTTTCATGAATAGCTTCAATATGTGTACTTGATGCAGTTGCAGTTAGTAACATTAAGGGCACAGTTGGATATCGCTGTTTAAGAAATCCCAATCTTCCCCAGGACCCTCTGTCAAATAGAATGGATATATGTAGCAAATTATAATGTATGTAGTAATTAAATTTATTACTTACTGAAAATGTCGATAACTTAATATACAATGCACCTCGTCTATAACTAACTGTAATTTTTTTTTGATATTACTTATCCAAAAACATTTGAAATCGTTTATTTAGCTCAATTTTTTCAGGGGTTACATACAGTACTTTTAAAAAACCTATTGCAATTTCTTCAAAAATTTTTTCCTCATTACTAACCGTTTCCATCGTGGAAGCATATAAGGCTGCACTAGGAACTCCAAGGTTTGTCAAACATGTCTATAGTTTAAGTGTAATTAATGTTTAAAATTAAATAAAAATTAAATTTATTACTACTAACCACTTGATTTTCCATTAGCGCTGTCAAAGGACTAACAATAATAGTTAAACCATCAAATAGCATGGCAGATAAAACAAAACACAAAGATTTACCACTACCAGTAGGCATTAATATGAAAGTATTTTTGTGATCTTGAACATATTTTTCTATAGCTAATTTCTGTTCTAATTTTAATGTATCAAACCCATATATTTTTTTTGCAGCTATTGAAATTTGGTTTTCAAAGTCTTTTATAAGGAAGTACTTTGTTTTGGGTACGTAGGTTGGATCTATAATTCGGTCTAACAAACCAAGATTCAAAAAGTATCACACATTTCACATAATCCTGATGAATGTTGCTTTTTAAATGTTTGACAGCCTTGACATCTAATTATTGTTTTAAAATCTTTAATTAAATAGCCGAATGATGGATAAAAACTATTTAAACGTAAGCATTCTTGCCCTTTATATTTGTAAGGAATTAAATCCTTTATATTTAAATATTAATTTTATTAGACTAATAAATCAATAAATACATATATTTTTTTTTTTATTATTAGATTATACCTGAGCAAAATCGAATCCTTGTAATTCTTTTTTTTCATTTGAATAAATTTCAGCATGTTTAGCATTATGTAAATGAATATTTTTTACATTACAAACTTGCTAATCATGTCGAATATTTTCTATTTTTTTGATGTTAATTTTATCTTGTATTGTAAAAGGTTCAGAAGTATATCCATACTGAATAGTTTCTAGAACTTTAGCATAGCCATCATTATGATGAATAATTGCTAAGACATGTCGCCCACTAAAAGATTTCCAAAAGTCTACTTTTTTATCAAGATATACTAGCTTAACTCTATTAAATGCCTCGTTTATTGAAGTACGATAAGTAGTTACTAATCCTTGACCAATTGGTAATTTAAAAATTTTTTCTAACATTTGTCGAAATTCATTAATTTGAACTTGTGAATAATGTTTTAA